AACATCGTATTCTTAAAAAATAAATAATAAAAGAACAACAATTCCATTGTTTATTACTTAATTATTCTCAAGAAAACGGTGCACTAAAAATTTCTTTTTCCAAAGGTATCCCATATCTTACCATTCAGGCGACTCGAAATTTTATTTACAAAATGGTGGCCCAGGTTACGCACTTGTCAGGCCGACAAATAAACACTATGTTTCTCCCGAACGAATACTTTATAACACCGCGTTCATTCGTCCAGAGATCGCGACATAAATTTCCGTGCTTTTACGATTTGTGGAGGCAAAAAAATACGCGCCCACAGAAAGGCGTTACCTCGTAACACACGTGGTACGATTAGATCTTTACTGTCGCATACTTATAGCGGTGAAATATGCGAGCTGTCTTGTCGTCCGTGGTACGACACAATCTCCCCATAACGTGTTTACAGGGTATTTTTGTACACTTCCAGTTGTAAATCCGAAGCAACGCGTGTTTAAATTATAGGAAAGAATTTATGCCCACAATAAAATTATTCGTCGACGAACCTAACGTTATCGTTTAATGGGTACGTGTTACCGTTTCCTCATGAGAACCTCTTAAACTCTCCGTGGTATCATCGCTTTATGGGAGGAAATATTCAGATAGGCGCAGTGGGAAAGATTCGTTTTACAAGGAAAATTAATTTTACTCATGAACAGTAATAGATATCAGACATGGATAATTTATTTATACTCTGCAGATGTATTTCTGTATCCCTTACTCCTAACGAAGTATTTAATTTTCTGTTACGAAATTACTAGACTGCGGATGTTTATCCATCGATGGAAAATTTCGATGTACAAGAAACTACGAAATGCATACAGTATGCAATAATATAAAACGATATTGAAAGTAAAATTTCTATTATAATATTTGAAGAGTAACATAATAAAATTCTACAAAATGCACATTATAAACAACTCTGAAGCCATACTATTCTTAATATCTAATAAATAGATATATAATATAGAATAAATAAAAGGATGCTGAAAACACGTGGAACGCACGGAGCAAGTAAAAAGAGGCTCCGTTATATTGAAACAAGCACCTCGTATATATATTTCTTATCGCAAGATTGCAGGAAAGCACAATGGTTTATTGCAAAACAACTCTACAACTTGCAGCTGGCGTTAAACAAATATATAGAAAGGAGCAGCGATAAAACTGAAAACATAGCAGGAAGATTTCTTAATAAAGAATTGCTTCGTCTAACTCCTTGTTCGAAAGGCTTAGTGGCACTCGATGTGGTTTGGAGGCTAATGCTAGAATGCAACGCTACAAACACCAAAATTGCTCGCGATAAGGAAAGGATAAGTTTAATTAAACGATAATGGCAGCATTATAAGAATGTAAACAAAGGCATATCCACTCTACCTCACAGAACGTGTACGTAATCCTCGAAAGCTCGAAAGCTTCCGAAACCACAATCTCAATCGCAGCAACGTAGGTAGGATCGAATCATGCGACGAAGGAACTACCCTCCGTGCTTTAATTCAGAAGTTTATATAGATATAAAGTTCCGACAGTTTTAGTGCCCAAACTAAGACAAGTAGTCAAACTAAAATTTTGCTATGAAATGGTTGAGACTTTGGGTGAGATGAGTTATAAAACCTCGCTGTTTTTACTTTGATAAGTCTGCTAAGTCTGATAAGTTGTTGGTAGATACCAGTAAAAAAGGCTTCGTCTGCAAAAGGCTGAACTCTTGAAAGCCAGAAGGACTAAACAAAAATCCCGAAGAACCTTTTAAAAAAATCTTCTTTCGACACTGACTGGCAACTGTCCCCGTGACCTTTCCATGTCATCCCTCTGCATCCCTCCTCCACGAGACGTCTCGACGCGTTTACGACTGGGACAAAAATGGAGCCCGCGAGTTCTGGCGTGTCCCCGCCGGGATCACGGTTCGCGAGACGATTTCGACTTTGCTAGTGTCTGTCACATAAACTCCGCTAGTTTACTACAGCCAGAGTAAAACGAGCTAGAGAGTCCGAGGTGTGCCTCACTTACGATTACGCGATGACGGTTGCCGGGGAGGCGGCCGTACCGAGTGGTGGATACGCAGGGGAAAGAAGAACAAGAAGATGAACGGAGGAACCGAAACGCCGGGGAACGGGGTAGAGAAACGAGGAGGAGGGGGGAAAAAATACCGCAAGCTGTAAAACGAACCACGTTTACGACCGTCGTTAAGTCCGCTCTGAGCGACCTGTCTGATTACATTGATGCTGCGAACTGCAGAAGACAAAACTAACCCCTTCGACGAAGTGCCGAGCGGTTTTAGGAAATACCTCGATCGACCGGTTCCTCATCCAGCCGCGCCGGTTCGCGTGCTTTTATGGAATCGATAGGAGATTTTGAAAATATTGAAATTCGTACGGCTCAACTCGCGCATCCCAATAATTAATTTCAAAATTATCTATTGAAATTTAGTATCTTTCTTGGTTCTCCGTATCCAAGAATCCGTATCTTTCTCCGTTTCACTTTGAGAAGTGCAGAGCTATATATTTTACTTTCAGTATTTTTATCCACTGACCTCAACAAAATTAAACGTTAAACGGACTGCAATTTTGAAATTAAGAGGAATACGAAGAGGCAATCCAGATCCAATGTTGCGATAGAAGAACGTGAGTTCTTAAAAAGAATTGCTTTCACTCCTCGGTTTTCCTTCGTTCGCGACGTTTTGTAATCACTCTCGGCCTGTGGAGGGAAAACGCCAACGCAGCAACATCCTTTATAGCCGGAGATTTATCGACTCTTTCCCCTCTTTAAACAGAACATCAGCGATGTCTATAAACGAGATGAGATTGACCTATCGCGCCTTCGGATGGAATCTTTGCTAGAGTAGTACTGTTAAAGATTTAAACTTGGCCGCGGTCCAACGATGCTCCTGTCCGGTGCGCACGATTCACTATTTCTATGGTGGACGGAAACATCATCTTCGCACGCAAGCATGACCTATCATTTTTATAGAATCTTATGTATGTATTTTCGTTAAAATAAATAAATACAACAAAAAACTGGGTTTCTTTGTTGGTACGAATAACACAAACATTATTTTTAATATACGAGGAATGCAACTTTTAAGCTTGCTTTAGTTTTTCGAAAACATCTCTCATTTTATGTTTATTTTCTTTTCTTTTTCAACTTTTTTATACCTGTTCTAAGAATCGATATCTTTCTGCCTGAATGTCAACCAAAGGAAACAAAGTGAAATTGAAGTAATGCATGTTTTCTGAACTCTACAGAAAAACACAGTGAAGCAACAGCTGTTTTAAATGAATGGTTGACAATTTTACTCGGTAGAAGTTAGTAATACACTGTTACGTCAAGAAATGTCGCTCAACCAGGAAATATGGTAACGCTAATAATACGTGTTACCCTACGACCCTCGACGCGATGCAGAAGACCAACACGGTTTGTATTCTTTGATCAAAGAAGTTTGAGTTCTTTGTACATCCGAAATTAACGGGGGAGAGGGAGAGATAATAACGTAGATTCGAAGAAACAGTACATGAATATTGTGAGAGATTATAGACGAATATATCTGTTTATACAGTTCTTGTAGTTAGTAATAGATATTATGCCGTTCCAAAAGTTTTCTATGCAATAATTCGAATATAGGTGTAAAAAGGGATGAGTAAATTCGTGAATGCCATTTAAAGATATATTTCATAGTAACGAATAGGATGACATTTGCCATGAACTTATGGAGTGATCCATAGGTAATGAAATAATCGTATTTAGCTAGGGCAATCGATCTCGCTTTCCCATGGAGCAGAATTCCTCAGAAATGCTCTCGACGATGAAGGTAAACGACTCAAGAATCCGAACAAAGGCAGTACGAGAGATGGCTAAGCGACTCATAAATTCGACTTTTTATGGTGTTGTCATCGTTAAAGTTGAAACTGTAGCTTTAAGCTCCCCCGTATAACGAAGCTCCATCGGCAGCGGTCGCTTTGATGAAGTTGGTAGCGAAAATCGTTGCAGTTCGAAATAGGTACCTTTGTTACAGAGGTATGTCAACGAATACACACAGTATCTCTCTCCGTGACTGTTTTGGTTTATGGTCGGACTTTTTACAATCAGCCAGCATCTTACACGACAAATATCGAGTTGTGTAATAAATATATTGCGGTTGTTTATGTAAATTCATATTTTTACAGATTAAGGTTACCCTTATCTTTCAAACTGTTCAATATGTATTTTACCGTTGATTTTTTATTTTTATTGTTTTGCATTTATGCACATCATCATTTGTCAATATTTTCTAATATTCTAACTAAGTAAGCATCGACGCAAAATACTCGATCCAAGATGGCTGAAACTATGGATCGTGCACGTGAACAATTTCCACGGAGAGTAACGAAAATCGTAGGGGGAAATAAAAGAAAGGAACGGAAGAAGGAAGCAGCAGGAAATTGAGGAACAGTTCGCTGGTCTAAGCGATACGGTCTGGCTGGCTCTTGAAAGGAAGGGCATTTTATAGGTTAGAATCTGTTTTATGTGCGCCGGATTTGCGATTACGACCCCAACTTCGAACGTTCCAGACTGAGGAAGAGCTTCAAAAGGAAGGGAGTAGGAGAAAACTTTATGTCCTTAAACGAAAACTAATCCTTCGGCCGTTTTTTTCCCTCGAGACTCGCGTTCGCTTAGTTTCCGAACCGTCTCCCGAGTTCTTATGATTCTGATGAGGGGCACCACCCGTACGATCGTGAAATGCGATTTGAATAAAATGTAAAGGCACGTTTCCAAAGTTGGACTATTTAATATAACGCGATTCCTGATCGGACATTTTGTAACCAGGTGGAAAGGGATAAAATATACCTAAATAGACGAAACGGACAGAATGTGACTCACCGAGGCTACGTAGTAGAATGTTCTGGAGGGCTGTTAGGATTTGACGACACTCTAGTGGTCGGTAAATGAGAATTTAGGGGATGTTGAAGTGGCCTGAGGTGGACAGCACCGGGCGGTGGCGCACCCCCTATGCAGGGCACTTGGCCCTCGTATGTTGGCGCCCCTGTAGAAGGAGGGTATGCCGAGCAGCAATTGTACGTCCGACTACTGCTTTGGACCATTCTGAGCGCTTTCCAGAAGTGCATCGTGCGAATGTCGTTATTGGCTGTAACAAAAAGTTGAGAACAAATTGAAATTTCAAGTAACAGGAAATGAATTTAAGAAACATTGCAATCTGAATTGCAGGTTATTACTCGAATGTTAATTTACAATAAATTGAATAGATTGTTGTAATTTATAGTAAGTGGGCGTGACTAAATTTATGTTACACGTAACATTGGTCTATTAACAGAGGAGTGTCTGTACGAAATTATCGTATAAATATTGTGACATACAAAAATATATTCATGCATAAATAACGTTCACACGTAAAAATACATATTTGTACAATATATATTATAATGTATGTATATTTAATCTAGAATTAGAAATACATAACGCAATCTATGATACAATATATATTATAATAATAGTAATATTAATAAAATGACAAAATGACAAAAGCTTATATAAATAATTGTTAAATCAACTAAATTTTTAGAATATCATTCTTCGGACCTATGAATAATACCCAAGTAATAATAATATTTTTGTTTCTATCCACGTCCACCGACCCAATGGCCAAATGTTCCGAAGAGCCTGCCAAAGGGTTGGAAGGCGGGAACAATTCATCGACCTCGGGATTATTAACAACCCTAGCTATGATCCCCGACACAATAGGGATTCAACCACGAGGTCGAGCATTATCCAGAAGGGGGATTCCGAGAACGGTGCACCCAGAATTCCCGTGGGTCATAGCCAATAGGAATTCGCCAATTGACGCATCAACATGGCCGACCCCTCGAGGCGTGGTTTTCACAAGAGCGTACATATAAACGGAAGACCTTGAAGGATGCCAATTCCCTGGGTTTCGTGTGCTCCCGTAGCCTAATTGGCGCCGTTTATTTTAATTGTTGCCACTCCCACATTAGGCGAGTTAATGAATGGACGCTACACTTGTGGGTTGCTCGAGGCTCGCTGGTAGCTGAAAATTATATTCCTGGTTCCTTCATTCACAAAATGTGTGATCAAACTCGCAGTTAGGGTAGTATGTACTATCGCGAAACGAGGTAGGTTTAACGGACCAAAGGCTTCTGAGAACGGTATACTCCTCCAGTTGGTATCCTCCTCCATCTGCAACTATCACTGACCTCTATCCTCTCTTGTTAGAGATATCTCAGGTAATATGATTGGACACTAAAAAACATTCAACAATTGGACTTCAATCCAAGACACTAGGTCGCAAAAATAACTAAAATAGCAATGACGTATTATGGACACTCGAACTGTCGTTCTCTGGACTTTGGCACACTTCGATTCTCATTCTCCTTCTGGCTACCGTAAACTTTTGAAATCGTCGGAGAAACGTTTGTGTGCATACAGAGTGTATAAATAAAATTTATTTCACCCCTTGGCAACAACTACTGCTGCGGAACAACTAGATACATTTACCAACGGACAATGCTTCGTTATTGGACATTTTTATTTAAATTCAACTATCGCGAAGCTACATCGTACTTACAAAATGGTTGAGTATGTTGAGTATATGGTCGAACATATCCAGATGTTGGAGTATTGGTAGCACACAAGAATGTTCATATTACCCCATACAATGAATAGGATATTATCGAGACTTTCTGACATTTGAATAACGAAGAAAATAAATAAGACATTTTTTGGTCGACTATTATGGTTAACGCTCACCGCAATACTCTATTCTTTCCTTCTTTCTGCATAACGGAGACTCGCTTGGACCACTCGCACGCAATTCTCGACACAATTCTTCCTCGCGTCTTATTCGCATTCAAACCCGAGAAATTTTTTCATTGAGACATTTTTTCGATTGTTGAAGAATAGCTATTGCAGAAACGACCAATTTGTAAGTATATTGTAGATATAACATGCTACAACATGCGACCGACGCGAACTTGTGGTTAGCGGTGCATCCTGTCAGTTTTCGACGCTTATGGCCAGACACTTGTCGGCTACTGTTTGTGTCGGGATTGCTCGAAATTGCTGCCGCAAACGGAGACTCTAATTTGTTGTTTTAATAACGACACGTATGATGAAGGCTGCTCCATTTCACTGATTCTGGTTCAAAAAATCTACGAAAAGCGTATTTTTTCGACTGAAAGCTTGTATATTACCTTGGCTACTTGGTTAATTAACACGATAAATGGCGTTGATAAAATTGACGAAGTACAAAATTTGTAAATTCTCCACGATATCTCGCGACCCATTTACCTGAAGCGAAAAGAGAACAATTTTTTTCTTAACGTTTTTTTTTTTTAATCTGGCTATCGTGTGTCCTAGAATAAACAATATTGGTTAATAAATAAACATTACATTCAAGATTTTCTAACAGGACAAAAAATACTAACCCTCCAATTGACATTATTTTCCAATCATTCTAGTCTACATCATAGTCGCATGAATAAACATTAAGAAAAACATTTATATTCTTGTTTGTTAAATTAGCATCTTTATTTACGAGCCGTCTAAATAATATTCTAATTGCAGAAGTCAAACGTCACGGTTTGACTACACAATGTGCCGAGACAGTTTATAAAATAGCCGAAGACTGAATGGGTTTATTTTTATTTACGTTTTAATTACATTTTTATGAACAGAGAGTATATACGGAGAAACGCAGAAGGTTAAATTTATGTAAACGTAATTTCCTGTTGACTCTGATATAGCACCTATGATAATGAATGTTATAAGCATTGGTGACCTAGTTGAAAAGTGTCGTTAGGTCTTATTATCGGTACGACTTATAATTGCTAGCTTCATCGATTGTCACGTTAAGCTTTCCAGCATTGATTAACAATTTTATCATGTGAATGTAGAAAACCAACTAAAGGAACAGTTTCTAATTTTGTTTGAGAACACGAGAGTTATCAATTTAATCATTACAAATTTTCAAGTGACATAATTGAGACTTTCTCAAACAGAGTTTTTGTAAACTCCGTTAAGCGGATATTCTTGTTACTTAAAGTCTTTAAAATATTTCATATTATATAAAACACATTTCGAACTTGTCACAGTTATTTTTTTAAAAATAATTGCAATTTTTTAACCTTGTTTATTGTTCGTTGTTCTGTAATTTTCGCTTCAATATTAAGAAAAATAGTAATTAGTTGTACAGTTTGAGTTCCGTCTGATAATACTCCACGCTTACCACTTGCAAAACTCATCGTTCCAGAAAGAAAATAAAAACGTTAGCTATGACATTTACGATGATCTTTATTTTTTCTTTGCAAATCGCTGCACAACTTTCATCCGCTAATTAGCCATAAATAATGGATGAATTATGATAATCATAAATAAGCGTTAAAAATGATTTAGTATATAGGCCAATGTGCCGCATTCCAGACTGGAAAGCTTCGTATGTTTCAAACTTTTTCCGAAACCTTAACACTTATTCTGAATCCATCGATTTTCAAAATTGTGAATATTGATACTACTATTCATTACACACAATTTCAAATGCAGAATAATTCAGTGTTTAACTGTAATTGGGTAGCTGAAGATATATCACAGAAAATACACAGATTCAATTTTCAAAATAAGACTTAGGTAAATTTTATAGAACGTGTCCAATAATGTTACCAAGTTAATCCAGATCCATGCATTGTTAATAATCAGTCAATCGATGTATAATTATGAATACCGACAGCATTATGTTTCGTCTTTCACGATGCATTTTTGCCAATTAAACTGAAACAAGAGTGATTTATTTTATTTTGGCATTTTCATGTTCGAAGAACGTAACGGGCCTGACATCTCATTCGATGAATTTGATATCTTCAAATTGCAGGTGGAACATAAAATACTCTGACAGCACTCTGTAATTATTCGTTGTGAGAAGGCACGATCCTGATCGTTCGATAACTCATGTAGACGAAAATATATCCATAGGCAGCCTCCTCAGGGTTAGCGGTTTGACAAATGCGAACGTAATTAAGCCTTATCTTGTGTTTCTCGCAGGAGGAGAAAGCGGGGAATGCTTTGAATGATCACCTTGATCCTTCTCTTTGACAGTTATGTATTAAAATCGAGAGAGAGAGAGAGAGAGAGAGAGAGAGAGAGAGAGAGAGAGAGAGAATACATGTAGGTTGCATTTGTTTGTACATCTAATACATTTTCATAGTCGTTTTCATTCATTTTTCTTCTTCTTCTAGTAAATAATAAGTTATATTAAAATTATCTCGCTTAGCATTGTATAGAAGGTTATACCTGAAGAGAATCATTCACCTTTACGTTAATCTCAACTATTTAGATAAGATTTTGTACAACTATTTAAAAAATTCTAACGAGAAATTAATAATAATCCATATATCCAACCTCCTATTATTGTTTTTAAGAACTTCAAATTTCGAAATTCCTAAGGAGGCTGTACTTTCAAATATTTATTAAATTTCTACATAGTATTAGTTCGTGTTTTGATAGAGCGTCTTACAAAGTCCTGCTACAAGAACCGAAATACCAGTGTCACATATACAAGCACTCTCGAACGGTTTCTAGTATTTTTTGTTTCGCGTTAAGGGTTGTAATAAACTTTCGTGATGCAGCGATACTAACGATAAATAACGCCAAGAAAATCAATTGAAGCAAAAGGACTCGCAATCATATGGCAATCAATAACCACCCATACATTTTTAACGAACTGTTTTAATGATCATTTAATACCCGAAGTCCCATATAAACGAACAAAAACATTTAATGAGAGATCCCGAACCCTGATTACGAGACTTTCGTCGATATATTCTGAAGAACATAACCTACCTTATCCCCAAATAATCATTATCTTCCTCCCCCAAGAGCAACCACAGAACCCAACAGCTTCCTATCAGATGAAGAAAATGTATTTTATTGAAGGAAAGTACGCAAAAAAATAACGCACTCCATACGTATTTGTATCTATCACCAATGAAGTTGTGTACAAAAATTCCGGTTTATACTTGAATGGCCTTCGTACATTTACTTTCATTTAAATTTTCATGTGGGTTCCGATTACCAGCTCCACTTTCATCGTGCGATCGAAGAAGAAAAAGACCAAAGATC